GGTGCTCCTGCCCAGCCCGCCGCTCCTGGTGCTCCTGCCGAGTCTGCTGCTCCTGGTGCTCCCGCTGAGTCTGCTGCTCCTGGTGCTCCTGCCCAGCCCGCCGCTCCTGGTGCTCCTGCCGAGTCTGCTGCTCCTGCCGCTCCTGCCGAGTCTGCTGCCCCAGGTGCTCCTGCCCAGCCCGCCGCTCCTGGTGCTCCTGCCGAGTCTGCTGCTCCTGCTGCTCCTGCCGCCCCTGCTGAGTCTGCTGCCCCAGGTGCTCCTGCCCAGCCCGCTGCTCCTGCCGCTCCTGGAGCCCCTGCTGAATCCGCCGCCCCGGGTGCTCCTGCCCAGCCTGCCGCTCCTGCCGAGTCTGCTGCTCCTGGTGCTCCCGCTCAGCCTAGCGGCCCTCTCATCAAGACTACCGCTCCAGCGGCGCAGCCTAGCGCCCCTGCCGCCCAGACCAGTGCCCCCGCAGTCCACCCAGTCGGCCCGGGTGCTAACTCTACCGCCCCTGCTGTGACTCCCAAGCCCTCTCCAAGCTCAGGCTTCCCCAAGTTCATCAACTCAACCATCCCTAAGACCCACACTTCTAGCCAAATCAGTGGTGGGAACTTCGTCGGCGGCGGCGAATCTCCCGCTAAGCCGACCTCGACTGGCTTCGCTCCTACCAGCCCCGGCTCCAAGCTCATTGTCCCCGGCCTCACGGCTGTCGGGGGTCTCGTCATTGGGCTGATGCTCATGGCGTAAACAGCAAAATTTTCAAAAGCAGAAGCCTCATCGCCACCTCCGTCGCACTCAACAGTGTGCCTCTTTATTTATCTTGATGCTAATTAATTTGAAAGATGCTCGCTTCGAAATGGAAGTGAAACCATGACACACGAAGGATGACAATGCGTGAGAAATGCCGATGGGGTGGCTCTATTTTATATTATTTTTTATACTAGACATGTAATATCTTCTACTTTTACTGTCAGAGCAGGGGGCGTTTAGGGCTAGGCGTTCAAACTAGTTATTCAATCTCATAATCAATGGACTTAATACTGCAAAACGAAATCGCATCTAATAATCCATCATAAGAGAGCCTTCGCTCGACCCCTCAAACCCCCCTATATATATATATATATATATATGTACATACCACGACCACCACCACATAGGCCAAAAAAAAAAAAGAAGACCAAATCCTACTCCTCCCTACCCCAAGAATAAAAAAAAGGCAACAACTCCCCAATCCCAACAACCCTCGGCCTCCCCTCCTTATCCTTAACAATCACCTTAATCCCAGGCCACAAGTCAAACAAAACCTGCCGACACCGCCCACACGGACTTAATATACCCCGATCGTTGTCCCCCACAGCCACAATATGCGTGAGATTCTCGACTCCAGCGGCGGCAGCAGTCCCCAAGACGACGAGTTCGGCGCACGGCCCGCCGGTGAAGTGGTAGACGTTTACGGCGGAGAAGATCTGGCCGGTGGAGGTTAGGACGGAGCTGGAGACGCTGTGCATGTCGGAGGTTTTGATGCTGGTTATTGTTTTGGTGGCTGCTGCTAGGAGGGTGGTTTCTTCGGGGGTTAGGGTTGTGGTAGTAGACATTGTTTCTGGGCAGGTGGTTGGTTTTGGGGATAGGATTTTTTCTTCCCTTTTTTCTTCCCTTTTTTCTTTTACTTTTTTTTTCCCCCAAAATATGGAATGATTAGAGAATACAATCGACGATTGTCTGCTTTGGGGATATGGGGAGTTTTATCGATACTTATAGTTGGAGGTATGATCAGGTGTAGGATATGCTTCGCTCTTCCCCGACACCTTAATTGGGTATAGGGCTGTCGGGTAATACGACTTTGCCTAGGTTGAAAGGGTGACTTTATTGAGAATATCATTGGAGAAGAAGTATATTGATAGGGTAAAAGATTACTACTTTTCTTTTTCTTTTTTTTTTTTTTTTTTTTTGAATGTGTTCGTCCTTGAAAGTAAATGGATTTTTGGTGAGAGGTAGTCTTGTACATATTAATATATGTACATACGCTTAAGCCCATGTCGAAGTGACTGCTGCTATATATATAGTGTTAACCGGTCTGACATATATATTCATCAGCACACAAAAAAGGGATGAGGAAGAAAAATCTAGAAATAACAATAGACAAACGTCACAAGCCCTTCATAAATCATAACCATCACCTCTCAACTACTTCCAGCACTCCACCTCCCCACCGCCGCGAAGTACCGCAACCCGCATAGTAGCCAAAAGATTCCTCGCAGGGCGAGAATGGTCATAGACACCCCCATTGAATGGCGGCGTAGCATCTTTCCCCAGCATACCCCTAATAGCAGACTCGCCCCACGGATGTTCCTCTATGAAACCCTGCACGTCATGCACGACACCCTCAATAACGACAAGCACCTCCCCCTTACCCACTCTCTCCCGGTACTCAGTCCAGTCCATAACAGGAAGCTCCTCCAACGGCGTCCCCCATTCCAGACGCCGCTTCTCCTCATCAAGCCGCTTGAACCTCTGCTGAACCCTCGCCTTAGCAATCTCATTATACCGAAATCTCTTCAAATCGCCCGCCAACCCCACAAGCCCACACACCCAAATAAACCACTTCGTCACATCAACCTGATGCCACTCGATCCCATTCCGATAATCCGACGGAAACTCATGATGGAAGTTATGAAACCCCTCCCCGAGTGTAATCAGCGCAGTGAGCAGATGGTCCCGCGGCGTGTGCCGATCATCATACGGCTGATGGCCCAGGTAATGCGCGAGGGAATTAACGCAGAACGTCGCCTGATTGACGAAGAAGGCTCGCAGGACGCCCGCGTAGAGGAACCCGCCTGCCCAGTCGTTCCACCCTACTCCGGCAACCAGGCAAGGGAGTAGCCAGCCCATGCCGAAGCCGGCGAGGAAGTAGTACTTGTGTTGCCAGACGACGACAGGGTCGTGGTCGATGTCTGCGAGGCTGACCCGGGCTCGTGTTTTCCTTTCGTTGGGCGGCTGGCGGAGGAGGACCCATAGGATGTGCGCGTGGAAGAAGCCCTTCTTTACGGTGTAGGGATCTAGGTCGGTGTCTGTGTAGCGGTGGTGGAGGCGGTGTTCGCGGACCCAGAAGCGGATTGAGCCTTGGAGGCTGCCGGCGCCGAAGGCTGCAAGGAGCCATTTTAGGGGCGTTGAGGCGGAGTAGGATCGGTGGGCCCAGAGGCGGTGGTATCCTGTGGTGTTTTGTTAGGCCCTTTAGGGCAGAGAAGAAAAGAAAGACTGCATGTTGGAGAGCGGAAGGTGATTTTACCGGCAGTAATAGAACCCAGGGAAAGTAAGTAGTAAAGTAGAGACAAGATGAGAGTCTTCAAGACCAAAGGTACCCAAAGTGACTGAATAAAGGCCCACAGAGGAATGAACACCAACATGGAGAAGTTGAACCTTCGAATGCGTTGATACCACCGTTGGTGGTCTGTAAGACTGCCAGTCATGATTGTGAGTGAACTTTTGACATGGTTTGTCACCACAGTCTCGAACAGTAGACGGGCTCATGCTTTATAGAAAATAAAAAAAAAAAAATTGACCCTCAAATTACCATGAAGGAAATATTACGCAAGTCTGAAGCGTCATAGTTCACCTGTCTTCTACCCGAAGTAAGGGATGCGGATCACGTTCGTCGGTTGGAATGAAAGTGACCATGTCGCATGCATGAAACTCGATATGTCCTTTCTCTACTTCCGCATGCACTACTAGCATCTACTAAGCCGTCACACCTCATTAAAACGGAGTCCGTTGGATGACGTTGGCCCCGGTACCTGTACAGTGGCCATATGATCTTGTAAGTCTACTCTTATGACCTGGTTGATTTGACAAGCTTGCAATTCCTGACATTTTGGGGGCTATAGGCCTTCTGGGAGTTCACATGTATGCAGTCAATTTTTGATTAGTCTATATAGGGTTGAAAACAGTATCTGATGCAGATTACAGTAGGTTTATGCAGAGGAGTGTTTGGTGCGAAACATGGAATAAAACGGAGCAACAGCACCTATAACTAGACAGGCCACATATACCCAGCCTATGACTTCGAAACCCAGTTCGTCCACTGACAAGAACAACCCCCACTACCACCGTCAATACCACCGGAAACTGACTCACTCAACGCAGAATCGGATATATTAAAGATTCCAGGTGCCGGGCTGACCAACTTGCCACCGAACCCGCGGTCTTCAATCTGTAACTTCTTTTCAGTCGAGTTGATATGCTGATCTGATTCCATGCCATAGCAGTACACCATCTTCTTCTCTGCCACCCCTCCATGTCGGTCGATGGTGATGGTTACAGGGTACGGGAAGGAGCCGGGACGGACGAAGTCAGTAGCAGAGCTTGAGCTGATTGGATTAGAAATTCCCGTGTGTGTTGGCGTTGGCGTTGCGGCAGATGAGCTATTACTGAGGAGAGTCTTTCCCGGGCGGGTCCATATCTGGACAAGGAAGCGTGTTTGAGCCCAGGTACACCTGACTCGGGCGTGTGCCTTGCTCGGACCACCGTTGGCATCACTTGCAGAATCATCCTTCTTAGCACCATTGAGCGGAGCAGTTGATTCAAGGAAAATAGGCCGGTCGAAGTAGGTATAGAAGCCATAGTGCTCGCTGTCCCGCCCGCGGTCGTAGAGTAGCACAGGTTGTGACTCGGGAAGAGGATAGAGCGTCGCGGCTGCAGCAGTGCCATCGGAGTCCAGATCTGGCGAGGGAATGAGCGATTCAATATTGGGAAAGGGATCGTCTGATCTCCGTGTCAATTTGGGGGTGGACATCTGGAGGGGTGAGAGTATTGTCATGTAGAAGGGTGTCTCTTCGCCCGCGTAGGGAACTTGATTCTTATCCGTAGTGTTCCCCAAGAATGTTTGGTCTTTCATGTCTGGTGGGGACGGCGACGGTCTGAACAGATTGTCAGATCTTTTAGTAGCTTTTGCTTTGCTAAACTTCGACGCAACAGTTGCGTTATACGAATACGTCCCGTTACGAAATCGGATCTCGACTCGAAAGTTAGGCTGATTAGCAGCATAGGGCTTGTTTGCCGACTGCTGTTCATTAGGCAAGGCGCAACTCCAGAGAGTAGAAGGCGTGATACAGCCTGAGTTTTGCACTTGTGGCTCGGGCCCAGCAATCGTTGCAATGCCTGTCGGCATAGGTGGATAACCAGTGAGGTTTAGCCATTGCGACTGGACCGGAGTCTCGTCCCCCTTTCTGGTGAGCATTATAGAGAGGACAAGAGCGACCACGACGATGATAATGAAGAATGAAGCAATAGCCGCATACCATCGACGTCTCAATCGACCTTCACGGCCAGGTCTCCCGAAACATCCCTTGTTACTGAAACAACCTCTACCGCGCCATAGCCCACCAGCCTTTTTACCAATCGCATCCTCCTTCTCGAGTCTCCTTCGTTGAGACTCTATTCTATCCCTTTCTGTAGCTGGATGCGTCGTCGCTTCCCGTGTAATCGGGAGAGGATCCATGCGGGGCGGTAATGTGGCTGGGGTATTGCGACGAGACACATATGCAGGCGCCGGGCTAGAGTGCATATCAGATAGAGGGATAGAGCCCGTCTTTTCCGTCATCCGTTGCAAGCCAGGGGATATAGGGCCAGGGGATTGCGGTTGTGCTTGTGGTTGGATCTCATGCTTTTGCGCTCCTTGGCTCGTAGGAATCACTACGTATTGAGGAACAACTCGTTCCGTGATAGAGACGGGGGCAGAAGATAGCCCAGGGGCGGACTGGAGGTATATATTATTGACTGGCGGCGGGACAGTACTTGTTGGCTGTGCCGGCTGAACAAAAGGCTTGCGGCTCTGCTTCTCAGGTTGGTTGCCTGTTGAATGCCCAGGCTCCTCCTCTTCCATAATAGCCTCCTTGGGACCCGGCTTGGAAGACTCTCCCTTGGGGGGTTCTATCCTGTCTTTTTGGGAGCTATTGTCTTCCTTTGGACTCTCCGCAGGAGTATCTGGCCGTTTATCAACAACAGTTTGTGGAGTCCAAGAACAAGTCGCAGCCGGAATATCTGTAGATTTTGAATGTCGTGATCCTTCATTGACACCCTTCGGCGCATCATCTACGTCAATGAGTAGACCCTTTGCACCTGAATCACTGTCTCTTGTGGTATCCGTATTGATGGTCGGTATTTTGTCTCTAGGGGTTAGTGAACAGACATGGTTGATGCATTCGAAGTAAGGTCTCCCGCTGAACAGTTCATGTGCACATGCTTGATAATACTCGGCAGCAGCGCCCTGAACTGCCCGACCGGGGAACACAAACGATGATCTGTTCTGGCCGTCCTGATATTCGACTTGGAAGTCGACTGCCTTATCATCAGCGAAAGGGTTATTTTGTGAAGGATGCCAATCGGCTATACCTCGATTGGCTACCGTGTTTTCAGGGGTATCGGGGGAAAAGTAGGACACCTCCTTCTCCCACCACTCGTCGCTTGATCCTGTCAGTTGAGTAGAAATGCTGGGTACAGGGGGCCGAGGGGCATCGATTAGTGTCTTTCGACTAGTGATTGTGTTTGTACGATCTAACAAGGGCGAAAGAAGGTATGTCCACCATCCTTGAGACAGATGTCTATTCATTTCCGTATTAACACTCAATCGACTCATCCTGTCAAAACCGCTCAAGCGATCGAAAGCTCTTTTAACGCTTTCACTGGAGTATGACCTTGAACGCAGTCCCGCCCGCAGTCGGACATCTTCCTCGAAGCCCGTACCTGTGGAGTACGAACGGCATTTCCTCGATGCCAGAGACTGCCTCTTGAGCGTTTCTTGGTCCATGAATTCACTTTTAGACCCCACATGCTCTGATGGAATGGCAGGTACTGGCGGGATATCTAACTCGCTCTTCTCCAGACGTGGCGTGGGTTGGGAGTAAATGCTGGATGTGGCTCGAGGAGGATTGCAAACTTGACTAAAGCCTGCCCAGAAATCATCCTCCTTTGCTGGAGTGACAACTATTGAGGGTGTGAGTGGCGTCCGCTGACTATCTGCAACGTCAAGCTCTTTGGAATATCTTTTCCTCCGTTCATCGCGTGGCATACTGAAACCAATCATGATCGGTCTGTCAGAAGGAGATAACTCATCCTTGCCTCTCCTCTTTGGTGAGCCCCCAGTCTTCCAATCGAACAAGGGCGATCGCCTTCTAACCGAGCCGAAAGATTCATCGGCGAGTTGTGGAGATTCTCGACTTGTTCCCTTCTTCAAGATCCTCTTAACCTTCCGCGCAGACCTTTCTTCCGCCCTTTCTTTCGACAGGACCTTAAGATCATTCAGATCTACGAACCCCGTGTCTAGTTTAATCTGGGGTGTCGGAGCCTTTAGCGAAAAGTCGGTAACCAGATTTAATCCCACCGGTTTCTCAAGTGTCTTCTTGTCCGCTGGCAGCGGATCATCTGCACTCTCTGCAGCCTTTTGCACAAAGTAGAAACTATTAGCCTCACGCACCGGCTCCTTGTCTTCCTGCCGCTGTTCGTATTCAACCTTGCGAGCAAAAGGGTTTTGGCTAGACATTTTCGCTGTTAGGTAGTCGAAGTGATTCCTTCCTATATCTCGCTCGTCTGGTGAAGAGGATATTGGGGTAGGAACTTCCTCTGTTATCGGGGACGACAAAGGGAAAGTAGGGACTGTGGGTATCCGCAGCTCAGCTTGCGGTTTCTGCCGCCTCCAGCCCATCTTCCCTGCGTTTTGATAATGAAGACCGACTTATGGAATATATCTGTTAGACTCGAAGTGTTGGCAGGGCCGTGGGGCATACCTAAGACAGAGGAGGGAGATCAAGCATAGGCATAAGGACGTGGGATCAGTTCTAGGAGTGTGTTCAAGCCTGGAATTTAAAACAATAGACAGAGGAACACATTAACAATGTAGTGTCACCTCCAATAAAGCATTGAAAAAGACAGAATCGGAATGTCCGCGAATGGGAACAAAGACAACGATGGTACCTCAGAGTGACAACACTGGCTCAGACGATATAATCATCACTATAGAACTTGACAAGATAGGCAGGAAGAGTATCGGCGTTAAAATTGTAGCCAGGATTCGTGAAGCAAAATAGAATTGACGGGCTTAGGGGGGGGGGGGGAGGAGGAGAGAGGTATAATCATAACACAAGCTTGCGAAGAAGTACTCGGGTGAGAGCAAGTGAAGTGGGAAGACATTCACAGAAGAAGTACCTTCTTTACTCAGGTCCATTGTTATTACGTCCAGAAGCTCATGCATCAGCGCTCAGGGTATCCATCCATTCTATTGGGCACTGCTTCAACTCTGCCGTTCTGCAGAATCCTAAATTTCCGGGTTCCATGGTCCCATGCGGGAGCTGCTGCAGCGGCAGAGATCTGAGCTGCCTTCATTGGATGAGAAGATATGATGACCCCTGCATAGGAGGGCAGCTTTGATCAAACATTGGCTCAGGGGGGAGCGCAGGGAGTGTCTGTAGCCGCCATGATGGAGTCGTGGGTACGGGCGCCTATTCAAGACACTTGAAGAAGTGGTTGTGAAGCTCTCGGGCGCCAATCAGCGTCGTCGGACCTTCCATGACAAAAATAGGCCTGACATTTCTGGCCCCAACCCTACTCACCTATTCATGTATCTATCTATCTGTAAGTCATATCGCGATGGAGAAAAGGAAAGAGTAGGTTTTGGTCAATGTTTGATTTATAAATATTAATTCAACATCGATCCCAATAATCGTGTCAGGACGCTTCATCAACATAATAATCACTTAGACCATGGGGATATCAAATGAGTTACCATACACACACACACTCCTATTCCAAGCTTGATTGCGCTTTTTCCTTTTGGTACACACGCACTATAACCGCACCCACAGTGTCACCGGTGAAGACAACATAATGAACATACACTTCCCATATCCAGTTCCCGATCCCAGACATCCTTTTGTGTCCAATGCGAAAGGAGAGAGAAAAAAGAAAGAAATAGATGAACCATGATGCAAGTTTATCAAAGAAAATGGTGATGAAAAAGTCGCCCACTTATAGGCCGGGTTCGATAAGACACAGTAGTGCCTGCCACTGAAAGAAATTAGGAAAAGGCATGGTGATGGGGAGACGGAGAATGTTCGCGCTCGACAAAAAAGAGGATAAAAAAGAAGAAAGAAAACCGCCCGAGTCAGATCTACAAGTGAGCCAAAGAAGAAAAGAAAAGACGTTTCCGCGTTTAGGGGCACGAGAGTCTGGATGGAGCAGACTCAAGACCGACATACTCGTAGCAAGACAATGTCATAAATCGCGTAGAGAAAATTTCCCTTGCTGAACTATCGTCGTTCGTCGGTGTACTGCACGCCTTGCATTGGCGCGACAGACCCATTCATCAAAGGAGGCAAAGTCCGTGGCTGCTCCTGTGACATGCCAGCACCCGGAGCATACCCAGTAAACATGGAGCCATGTGATTGCCCATTGACCTGCGGCGTGGCCATCGGATGATGCTCAAACATTGACTGCGGTCGAGATTGCCCATTAGTTTGTTGCTGCTGCTGCTGATTAAGCTGAGCCCGCATTTCGTCCACCTCGTTCCGGAGGATATCATTTTCTCGGCGAGCAGTACTGAGCATCTTCTCCAATTGTCCAATGTATTCAATTGCTACCAAAAAAAAAGCGTCAGTATGGCACAATAAAGTAGTATATAGCCGGCGCAAATGCATCATTACCTCGGGTAAGAGTCTCCCATTTACTCGACTTATTGTTCTGGCTTTGCGGAAGACGCATCCGCAGAGCCTCGAAGCAGTCCTTCATCTCACTGCGGCGTTTCCGCTCCGCCAGTTTATGCGTCACCCTCAACTCGGGTGTTCTGCTGTATGGGGTGCTACCGCTGTGCAAGTCGGCCTCTCCAATAAGCCCACGAACCTGCTTGTGTTGCAGCGAATGATGGTGGACATTTTGAGGGAGTTCTAGGCAACGGTCAGTATGGAATCTCTACAGACCCGTAAACGTGGCCGGGGATCACCAATTGACATACCGTGCTGACCACGAGGCAAACGAGTATCCGAGTAGATGCTGCTTGAAAAAGACTCTGCGGTGCTTCCTTTTCTAGAAAACTGTACGTTCGACTTTTCGGCCGTAGAAGAGATCGAATTCGACCGTGCAACGTCCGGATCTGGGAATGCGTATGCAAGACCGGCTGTGGGTGCCTCCGCATTATAAATCTCTGAGCGAGGGTTTGACGAGATTGCGGGTGCAGTGCGGCCAGCCGCAAACCCACGATGTTCGCTGGCCCGTGGGCCCAGAGGGGAAAGAGGCTGTCCCCCAGAATAGCGGGGACCCCGGTAAGTATTGGCCATATTCACATCCATAGATATCCCGCGCTCCCGTTGTAATCCTGAGACGATCGATGTCTGTGAGGCGTTGGTGCTGTGGTAAGGGGACGCCGGATTGATGGCAAGAGAGCTTATTCCCTGGTTCATCCGACTATCGATACTGCTCCGTCGTGATTCCGGAGGTTCTGCAATGCTGCCTCGCTGCGACGGTGCGTCATAGTTCTGATTGATGGAAGGAAGCGCTGGATTGGGTTGGGCCGAGCCAAAGTTAGGGGACGGCTGCGCGCCCGAGGAAGAGGGTGTATTGGTATTGGAGTGGTCGGTAGGGTAAGGAGATCGATCGGATACCGTGGACACTCGATTAGGGGAGGGTTGAGAGGATGTAAGGAATGAGAGAGAGGGGTAGTTGCCGGTCCCGTTTGTCGCCGTAGAGTAGGTTGAAGATCCTAAAAGACGCCATGTCAGCGCTTATAAACCAACCGAAATACTGCGAAAGCTTTACTTGTACTCTGAGGCATCGACCAGTTCCCTGAATCGCGCTCAATCGTGTTCAATGACGCATTGCCGGGCGACTTCTCCGCTGGAGGAGCAGCGGTGCTGGTCATACTCGCTGTCAGAGTCGATATCGATGGAAGGGTCTGCGAAGAAGGGACTGTAGGGGTTTGGGCTCCGGTTGTGGCAGGCTCCCACGGCCGATGTGTAAGTGTGGCTTCCATGGTCGATTATTCACAGGTTGTGCCAATGCGAGAAAGAGAAAGTAAAAGTGTTCGAACGAGCGTCCCGGTACTGATTGTACAATAAACCACTCCGCGCGCACTTATCTCATGTTCCACAAACAGGCAGTTGGACGAGTCGAATTGTCAGACCAATCTTCAAATGATAGATTCTCCGTTGTCACAAAAATGATCCCAAGTGCCGTATAACTGGTACTTCTTCCAGGTTCCCGCAGGAAGAGATTTGCTGTCGCAGAAAGGTCCGTTGAGCGTACTCAAGGCTGCTTCACTATTTCTGACCACCCCACAGATATTCACTACAATCGGAAATCCGGTTTAAGGACCCCCCAAAAAGACACTCTCCGCTGGTGTCTTTGCGTGACTCGGCAATGCGACACGAAGAATATCCGTCGGCCAGGACCAGTCAGACGTCGACCCACAAAACACAATATCCACCACACAGAGAATATTTCCGCCTGGTAAAATGTAGATTTGATATTCGAGATCCGGAGGATATAAGAAGAGGGAGGTTCAAGAAGTAGGTTGGTGAAAAGCAAGTCCGCAGGCGGGCAGTAGAGGACGAAGGACGTCGGGGGGAGTGGAAATAAGGAATGACCGAAACCGAGTGTATTATCGAAACACCGGGTGGAAAGTTTGGGTCGGGGGGGTTTTGCCCAAAAAAAAAAAAAAAAAAAA